CAAGTGTTAGTATTTTTTAGGTATCATTCCTAACTCTTCTGTCTTTTATAAACAAACCTTTTGAAGGTCTCCTTTTGAATGGTGAGAAAAATAATATAAGAGTTTCATCTTCAAAAAAATAAGAAGTCTTTAAGACGCGCTCAGTGAAGCGGAGGATGAAGGGATGCCAATTCGAAGAAATAAAATGCATCTAAAATTTAAAGGGTTTACCCATGGCAGTTAACCATGAAAAAAAAAGGTAGTAAACTCTTCGCGCTTATTGTTAGAATTTACTAACATAAATACCATAAATTTAAATGTTGGAACACATAAAATCATTCTAACATGGTGCATGTTGTGGGAAGAGCATTAGATTAACTGAGGAGGCACAAATGTGTAGGATATGGACTTGTTACCTAATGTTTATATTTTTAGAAAACTTTTTTTTGTTAATATATTAGGACTTTGAATACAGCATGCAAAAATAAAGTTTTTTTTTTAAAAAAAAGTCCCATTAAGTAGTTTTTGTAAGTTTTGTTTATATCTTATAAAATATGTATTGCTAAATGAACAACTATGCTAACATTTTTATGCCATAAAAAACAAAAATTTTCAAATATATAAATAAATAAATAAAATGAATAAAAAAAACTTATGGTTACTATTGCTTATTAAATCAGAAATTGAACCCAGTTTTTAAATGAAGAAAATTTATTGATTAATGTCTAGAAAAAGTTTGCTACAAGTTTCAATTATCTACATCAGTGTTTGCCAAAGTGTGGTACGCGTTCTTATGCGAAATATCTTGCAACAAACGAAAATTTCAAAATATTTTATTTAAAAACAAAGCTAGTCATGAAAATTTACGACTGCGTATTTTTTATTTGACTATTTTTTGCAGAGTTAACAGTTAATAATTAGTGATGTCAACAGCTAGTTGTGGTTTTACACTTTTGTGCAATTTTTTTTATAGTAAAATATACATTACTTTTTTTAGTGGTACACAGAGTTACGAAAAATTTAGAAAGGGTACACAAAAGTCCTAAGTTTGGGAAACATGTATTTTGGCAACACTATAGTTATTATTCATTTTGTTGAGTTGTCTTAAGTAATAGTTTAAATTGCGTTGGTTACGTTAAGCATTCTAGACTTTTGTATTTTTATAGAAATAATAACTTATGAAGTAATTATTCAGATTTATTTTTGATCCTTTCTAAAATAAATGACTGTAAACGTAATGTAACGGTGCTATGGGGCCACATATTGTATATATGTATATTGTATTGTATACATATATATATATACTAAAATTCAATATATAAAGAACTTCGACAATATTGTATAACATGTATATCAACTTGTGAACATTTTCACTAATAAATATAGGCTAAAATTGTTCGTGGTAGTCAAAGATATATTATGATGTTCATCATTCAATCTCTCCCTCTCTCTCTTTTCTTTTGTTCTTGTAGTTCATTTACGTCGCACTAGAGCTGCACAATGGGCTATTGGCGACGGTCTGGGAAACATCCCTGAGGATGATCCGAAGGCGTATTGACAAAACATACCGTAGATTGTAAAGGGGTTGGCGAAAATATCTATCGGCGTTGAAGGAGCGTCTCGCAAATCGCCAAACAGCTGTGTGCTTATGTTNTCCCTGAGGGCGATCCGAAGACATGCCATCACAATTTTGATCCTCTGCAGAGGAGATGGCACCCCCGCTTCTTTTACTCGTTGCGCACTTCAGCATTTTTACTAAGTTAACTTCCATTTTAATTCTTTAAGTTATCTTTAAGTTATCTCTCTATGTAAGCTTTAAGCTAATTCTTTCATCTTGGTACCTTCCGGTTTAATGCCGCAGTGGATTGATCGTTAAGACACGGTTCCCAGAAGATCTCCAAAGTCAAGCATCACTGGCTGTGGTCTGTGTGCGGGTGGGAGACCACTTGGATCAGTCTGCGTAGGGACCGAGGGTGTGCGGTATGGGTCCTCGTTAAACTGTTCTACCGTAAAGTGCTCAAATTCGCTTGCAGGTCGTTGGTCTGCAGAAGCGGGGGTGCCCTCCCCTCAGCAGAGGATCAAAATTGTGATGGCTTGTTTTCGGATCATCCTCAGGGTTGTTTCCCAGACCGTCGCCAATAGCCCATTGTTCGGCTCTAGTGCGACGTAAATTAACTACAACAACAACAACCGGTTTAATGCATTGAATATTTTCAAAATTTTCTAGATGTAAACGAACGGAAATATCCGTTACAAAAAAAATTTCCAGTAAATTCCGTCCAGAAATTTAGTTACTTCTATAAATAGAAGAGTAATTTGTTTGTTTTTTAGATATACAGAGACAGTTATATATAAAAGATTGCTTGTGAAATTTAAAAAAATTGCTGCTTTCAGTCATTATGATTTTATTGCTTTTGTGAGGAAAAAAAATGGAGATTGATATAAAAAGTATCATTGCCTTTTTGTGGATGATTTTTTATATTTTGTGTCCTCTTTTCATATATAATTCCTCTTTACAACACCCTAGAAATCAAATCGCTGGTTCAAAGTTAAAACGACACTTCTGCACTCACTTCTCATTCAAATAACATGAGAAGTGAGTGCAGAAGTGTCGTTTTAACTTTGAACCAGCGGAATGGTTTTACTATCAAAATTCCGGGTGATTCCGAATTCTCTTTCCCGGGTGAGTCACGTCCCTGGTTATAAATTTTTTTTTTATGTCAGAATTAGATTAAACTTAAAAAAATTTTGCCTTAAATATGCCTGGATATTTATCATCAATACTACTACTACTCTAGTAATATCTCTAGCGTGTATAATTTTCTTTGTCACATGCCTCCACAAATTTGACTTATTGAAATCTTAATTCAACCTTATGAAATTACCAAGCTGTTACCATGGTGACAACTAATCACAGGACAGAGGAAGCATTGTCTTATTTAATCTGCATAACGTGTAGCGGGAAACTTTCTTCATTTAAAACCCCGCCTTTGTCTTGTCGATTGAAAATGATCGATCAATATGAAATTTTTTTCCCCCTCCCAGAACTGTGAGTCGAAGATTTATTGAGGCTGTTTTAAAATGCAAAAATGTCCCCGCGTATAACAATTATTGGCCTTACATAATGTCCTGAGGGTACATAAATCAAAATTGTTCATCAATATTGCTTAGCTGTCTCACCATCACTCTTGGTTGTTAAAGTGTTAAAACTAGAATATAAATTGAATCTAAAATGGAGTTGGATTATGAAGATGTAAAACGATGAAATTTTATGGTGCATTTTATAGTTAAAACGAAGAAGACTGTATTTAATATCAGAAACTATGCTTTTTTTCACATTTCCTTTTTGTTCTTTTTTTTAATAACTATTGAATTATTTTTAAATCGAAGGAATGTTTCAATACATATTAAAATATTTAATCTTCTAACTCAAGATAATAATAAATTTTACGCTTTTTGTGCATGTTAACATTTTTGATATTCTGATAACTGATAAAGCTCCTAAGTTAGTAGCGTTGCAGCAGCTATCATTTTTATAAAAAAAAAGAAAGTGTCGGAATAGAATTTTAATAATTTTATTTCTCTTTCCTTACTTGCTTTCGAGTCGGTGGGGGAGAGAATCCTGTAATCGTAATTTCGATCATTTTTAGACTAGCTAAAATACTTGATTTATCTCAGCATCATGACAATAAAAGTCTGACAATAACGAATTATTGTTAAATAGAATTTCGAAATTTCCACATCCTTAGAACTAGGGCGAAAATTTCAATTGGAATTCAGGATCATAATATAAGTTTCTATTTTTTCTGGCTGATACTTGCATAATTTATCAGCAGTTTTTTATTTATTATTTATTCTTTTAACTGTTGTTTTACTGATATTTTGTTTTTCAGCATTAAATAAGCTTAATTATATTTATTATTATTTTCAACTGTAGTTTTTCTTATATTTTGTTTTTCAATACTAAGTTTAGTTATTTTTATTATTTTTTTAACTGTTGTTTTACTTATATTTTGTTTTTCAGTATTAAACAAGATTAATTATTATTATTATTCTTTTTTTAACTGTTGTTTTACACATATTTTGTTTTTCCGTATTAAACAAGCATAATTATTATTATTTACTAGTGCGCTGCGCTCCTTGCTCACTAACGCTCGCCAGCTCCAGAAAATTGCTACGCAATCTTATATGGTTTGCTTCGCAAACCAAGCTCACTTCGCTCGCTACTAACTTAGGTACATTGCAAATGCACAAAATTCTAAGAATTCAAAACAGTCATTTAAATCCATATAACAAGGTTTTTTTTTTAAAAAAAAATTACATCTTTTTAGTAAATACTAAGTCATTAAAATGAATTTGAATTCAAATAAATGACATGTAATTCGTTAAACCTATTAGAAATGTGCTATAGAATAAAATCTTAAAGCGTAACAGTACGACTGAGACTCATTTTTCAATGAATAACTAATAACAATAATAAAACAAATAAATTCGTGATATAAATCAAAAATCGTCTAATTGATTCGTAATATATAAATTCGTGAAAAAAAGCGCTTTCGACGAAATAATAAAATAGAGATCAATCGACAAAGAGTACTCACTTCTGCCTAGCTTAATAGTATGAGATTGCCGCAGCTGATAGGGTGAATTTTGGAAGAGATCACATTTGGTGAGAATGCTCTCTTTGGTTATTTTAGTTTTCGTTTTTAAAAGCGCTATATGTTGAGCCACCTCAGCTAGATTTGGCATGTGACATTCTTATCTGCACTCATTGGTCGATTTTCTAGCGTTGCCATTCGGGGAGTTGTAAAGAGGCTTTTTTTTTCTCGCCGTGTAAGAGAAATACATATAGATAGATTTTTTTTACTGTTGTTTTACTCATATTTTTTTTAGTGTTCAACAAGCTTAATTATTATTATTCTTTTTTTTTTAACTGTTGTTTTACTCATATTTTGTTTTTCTGTATCAAACAAGCTTAATTATTTTTATTATTGTTTCGATTAACATGATGTTCTTTACAGGAATTCTGACGGTTCAAGTAGATTTCCTAAGCTAGATGAATGTGCACATTTTCATTATGACCATGTTGAACTTGGACCAATCACTGTAAGTTAATTATAATTCATTGAAAAATACATATAGTTTGCTATTACACTTTATTAATCAGTTTCTTGACATTATACAAGCCTCAATATGTCTTCCCAAACTTTTTATAGGATCCTATTCTTCCTTCGAAAATTCAAAAAAAAAAAATTTTTTTTTTCTCCAATGAAAATCGCTCTTTCTAGATATGGATGGTTGACTGAATATAAACAATAACAAGGTTCCTAAAACCGGAAGAAATTTAGAATATTTCCGGTGTATCTCTCCGCTTATGTTATGCTTGCGAGGCGATGTGTAAACAGGCTTAATGTTCTAAGCAGTGTTATTATTATGATAAGCGCTTAAATTAACGCTTTATTTTACCATTCATTAGAGTTATCTGTAATTTATAAAGTTTAACAAGTCGTGAGCTTTAAACAAATTTAAGAAAATTAATTTCACAGCATAAATAAATGGTAATGTTTGACATGTTTTGAGTGTTATCCCTTGTTTGGCCATATTAGTGCAAAATATCCATAATTATAATCCAAAAAATTTGGTTAACATCATTGAATGCTTGCGGAGTTTTCCAAATTCATTTGTTGTTTGTTTCGCTGATATTTAAATTAAAGGAACGCATTATATTGTAAACTCTACAAATCTGACAATATTGTATGGCGCGTTTTTCAAGCTTAGACGAAAATAATCAATCGAAAGTAGCAACGCTGAAGTCATATGACGAATTTTTCGGTGGTACTCCGACTTAATAAATAAAGTTCATTAAAGTACAGTACAGAACCCGTTATCCGGAAATCAGAAAACCGGAAAACCAAAAAACCAGAACGAAATTCAGTAAATTTTCCCGCCATTTTTAAAAATTTTTTTTTCCTCGTAAGATTTTTGGATTTTTCTTTCTTTTTTGAAAGATGTTTACCTTACCATCATTTTGGAAATAATCATTAGTGTATTACTTCATCGTTTTTTCTTCTTTTTAAGATTATTTCCAAAAATTAATTTTTTTAGTTGGGTTTAACAATAAAAAAAACGGCTTTTTGTAGCGATTCAGAAAACCGGAAAAATCAGTTATCCGGAATAGCGATGGTCCCGATCGTTCCGGATAATCGGTTCCCTACTGTAATTGTGAACCTTATAACCTATAAAAACTACTTTTAAAATATTTAATTCGAATGATGAAGATTTTTCATCCTTTTATCATTAATAATATTAAATTAGGTTTTAATTCCGACACTTGAATTTGCTGTCCTTGTTCCATATCTAGTCTGCTTATCATTTTGTTTATGGTATCTAAACATGAATGAATAAAATAAGACTAATTATAGTTTACTTCGAAGGGGAAAATGCTGTTAAAATGGTTATTAGATATATTTTTGTTAGAAATATTATATTTCCTTTTAAAAAATGCAATTTCCATTTCATTGGTATTCTACTTGAAATAATTTCATAAAGGCTACTGAGAGATTAAATAAATTATTAATTATTGGCTGTATCTAAATTTAATCAGGGGCTTCAAAATTTATCACTGGTTATACAATGTGCTAACTTGTGGAACCCCTTCCACGGAACTCTATTTGGGAACTTTTGCGCTAGGCAACCTGAGTTAACAAACGCAGTTTTTTGATGGATTAGTAAATTTAAGCACAATTCACGTATGTATGCCATTATGTTATTTTATTGTAAGATGGACATAAAGGTCACAAACATTGTCTTCTAGAAAAGGAAAAAAATCCTTAAAATGAAATCTGACAAAGTCACGTATCTTTGCCATCTTTTCTGACCGAATTACGATTTTACTCTTTTGACAAAGTTCGCGCGCTCGTGCGCCGCACTCACTCCCCCGACGAACAAAAAAAGAAATAGGTAGGCAGGGGTGGAAAGGGGTGTAGATTCAAAACGTGAGCGAGTTCAGAAACCCGAGAAGGAAGTATTTTTTTTAGTAGTTTTAGTAAGTGCGTGTTGTTTTGCTTTCTTTATTATTTCTTTTCGCGTTCTTCTCCGTGTTCGAAAGTTCTTCCATTCGAAAAGAAAATCTCGAAGTGGATTGTGTTCAGTCGTTCTCCAGAGTTCATTCGCGGTTCAGGTTACATAGAGCTATGCTGCGTGTGGCGTTGATGGACGACTTTTCAAGTTCAAACTGAGTTGTTTTGTTGCTATCTATGGATTTATGTTTATATTATCTACATCTCATATTTCATTCTTGAAGTTTAGTAGCAGGTATGATTTAAAAAATGAAAATAGTTATGTTAATTCAGTGTTCGTTTTGTGAATAGAGATCTGTTATTATTTTTGAATTCTGTGTAATTTATTTTAAAAAAGTTTAAATTTTTTTGATTGATTTATATTTTTTTGATTTTATTTTGATTTTTTTGATTTATATTTTTAAAAATCTCGAAATTCAAATGACTAACCAAAAATTTAAGTTTTTATTTATATTTGAAATATTCCAAGTATTTGAGGCTGCTGCGAATTTTTTTTTCAGTGGTACTAAATTAGGGCAAAATTTTTTGAAACAGATTTTTATGTAAATTAATTAAAAGAATTTACGAACTTAAGCACTCGTCTATATGATCTTATTTATATATATGTTTAAATTACTTGCGATTAGTGGTGGAGCAAATTCTTTTAATTCTAATTTTTTATAATAATAATACGTTGTGCTTGCTGTTATTACGAAAAATATTTTCTGAAACTACCGAGAATCCGTAGTAGTTTAGGTCTGTATGATCTTATTTATATATGTGTTTAAATTACTTGCGTTTAGAGGTGGAGTAAATTCTTTGAACTGTAATTTATTAAAATATAAATACATTGCCTTTGCTACGAATATGAAAAATATTTTCTGAAACTACCGAGAATCCGTAGTAGTTTAGGTCTATATGATCTTATTTCTAATGCATTAATTACACAAAGTAACAAATAGAACATACAAAAAACTATTTAGGATTACTGCAGCAAAAATGGCAACATTTTGTTGACATGTAAAATGTTCCCGGACGAAAAAAAGTGATTACGCATTTAAATTTAAGAGTAAGTTCTTATTTTTTATGTTTGTTTCCGCTTGATGTTTAAAAATCGCAATCTCTTTATTTCAGATCTATAGTTATTTATTATCAGTGATATACACACAACCAACTTAATTCGCTTTGTGAGGAAATATTTTCAAGTGGTATCCCTAAATGTATATTTAAACCACATTCTCCGAATTTTCAGTTTTTGCGAAATGTATCTGTCAGCAGTTTAAAATTGAAACCAAAAATATTAAAGCAAATATAATTCTTATAATCTTTCTTAATCTTATAATTCTTATAAAGCCTTCGTCAAGACTTCTGAGCATGACCATTTCTCGATGTGACTGTTTATATATCGATTTAAATTAATTATATATAGTAGTGGGCAAATTTCAATTAATTCTAATTTATTGAATTTAATTGATTCTTATTATTTCCGTAAATATTAAAGCAAATAGAATTCTTATAATCTTTCTTAGAATTAATCTTATAATTCTTATAAAGCCTTCATCAAGACTTCTGAGCATGACCATTTCTCGATGTGACTTTTTATATATCGTATAAATGAATTATATATAGTTGTGGATAAAATTAAATTGATTCTAATTTATTAAAACATTAATTCATTTCACTAGAAAAAATGCTTTTTGGCCTCTAGAAAAATCCACTAGGAAAAATATTTCTGGAAAAAGTGCTTCCAATAGAAAAAATACTTTTTTAAGCTATTGAAATACCGCAGTCGTAAGATAAGCAGGATTTACACAACCTGGAAAAATTAAATAAATGCTAAGCTTTTTAAAGACTACTAAAAAGGCTTTTATTTATCTTTCATTTGTGAACTAGGAAACTATTCCCAAGTTATTTTTTGCACTCATATATATTTCCTTTAAATAGAATATTTATTGAATGCTTAAAACATCTAGACCTATCTCACTTTAAAAAAAATTTCATACCCTGGATATGGTTCTTGCTGTATTGTTTAACTTAAAGAAAAACTGATCTTGTTTACCACTGCATAAAAAAATTACACATAGTGATATTTTTTTTATTATTTTCCCGTCAAACATTTTTTATAGTTGTCGAAAGAAAAAATTTTAGAATTTAATAATCTACCACTTCATTAAATATGAAACAGATTGAATTCCGGGATATATTATGCAAGCACGAAATGTCTTACTTCTCTAAGATAAATTTCAAGAATAAAATTATTGAGTTACTAATTTGTATTTTATAATAACATTTCATGGAAACGTCGGCCCGTAATTGGTTAGAGTCGTAAAGCTGTGTCAAAAAAATCACTACTACATCTTCATCAAACCTAGTGCCATAATGGCAAGGAGATACTGGCAAAATATCAGCATGAAAACAAGATGAAGTGATGTGCCAGCTTACGAAAACCTCTTTCTGTTTCATTTAAAAAAAATAAAGCCAACTTGCAAACGGAGATACTGGTGTTAAGTATTTAGAAAATGTGACAATGGAAAAAAAAAATTAAGAGCAGAGTCCTTCACCAGCGCAGGAATATTTAGGAATGCCAAATGCTTCTCATTCTATAGAAGATTTCAAAGAGCGAAACAGAAATAAAGACTAAAGCTTGAAGAATTTTCTTCCATTGAAGAAAATACTTTTACCAGCAAAGTTAAGACGAATTGGTATTTATAATGTGACTTTGAATAATTTTTCTTGTTGTGGGGAAACATAATTACTTAACTAAATTTATTAGGCTGCCCCTAAAAAAGTTTTTTCTCACAAAGCAGGGAATGTTGGCAACTCTGTATAGTGCGCCCCCAAAAAATATGTATATATATATGGATCGCCCTGTGAATAACTTTTGATCGAATATTCACATTCCGGGACTCAATCTTAATGCCTTGCAAGGGGGTGTCTTCAAATATGCAAGTTATTAGTGCAGACGATATTTTAAGTTATTAAGATAAAACGATATATTAAATCAGGCACTAAAACGAACTTTGTCTGAATAATATTCCTATGAATTGC